GCGTGCTGCCCCACCCATACAACTCCCTTTACCATAAATCACGTATTGTACGATCCACAGTCTAATGACAGCTAAGTGGGGTAATTCTTTATACCGTTGCCCTTACTGCGGGTAATAGCGCCCAACTCTGCTAAGCCTGGTTCGGTTGGTGTAAGCCATGCCTGAATATTCATTTTATCTAAACCTACCTTCAGTGGCCCATATGAAGTCTTGTCGCCCAGAGTGATGTCGGTCATCGCCCAGCACGGCGGTCAAGCAGACAGAATCTCTCACAGAGCTTACCTTGACTTGCCTCGCCCTAAAACGGCCCGCAATTAAAGAAATCCTGCTGCCCATCAAAAAGAACAACTTAAAATCGTGACTTAGATGCCTTCCCAGAGGTCTGATAGTTCATCGGTCGCGTCCGTCGATGTCCACTGTGTACTCCACAACAAGGCGAGAGCAGGCATGGTGACATGTGCGTGAACTAGTTTGTAGTGATAGTAGACTTGCGCAGCATCTACTTCACTCTCAGTCCCCTACACTCCACCTGGACCCGGCGTCGAGACAGACTCAAAAAGACCGGAGGCGTGAGAGGGCGCATGTGGCTAGCACGGCCGGATCCGCACCTGGGCGTGCCAGCATACCCCCTGGTCTACAACAAACACTTGATCAAGATTTTAACCGAAAACAAAAGTGGGTCAGAAAGAGGAGAAATCAGAGACCGTTAGTCTGCGGTTGTCAGCCGATCTAAAGAATCGTTCACAGGCCACACAGTTAATACCCCGTACGTTGCTACGGCGCCTTTTGCACAACATAAACAACTCCCACCGCACCCACAGACAATACTTCTGTCCAAACTGATCCTTGTGGAATGACATATTTTGCACTAGACTAGGTCGCTTTTGCAGGCACCAAGGACCCTCAATCGACGTCGTAGATCAGGGCATAAACTTCCATGCTCAAGTGGCCATCAAATGCAGATGCAACTGCTGATCTATGGAAATTATCTACTCTGCCATAGGCAGAGCCTAACCCCCATGGCCTTCAGCTCAAGGTCGGAGAAGGAAGAAGGTAAGTCATGCGCATGTGGAGGGAGGAATTTATTCTGTATAGAAGGCAGCTGGACAAAAGACGCGCAAATGTTGCGTTGTCGGAGTGGGTTTCCGAGTACCTAGAACGAGATTGCGCGCACGCCAGCCTTGAAGTTGACTGGTGGCAGGTCTGGGCATCCATAATTAGCCGAGCCCCAAACGGAGTCTCTCGGTTTCGGCGTTTGATCGGACTCTATGATAACATCATACAGCGCCACAGTTCATTATCAGCGACGAAATTGCGACGATCGACGATCCGGATGCGATCGAGCAGGCAACCATTACACCAATGACGACCACCAACTGTTAACTATGTCAGACGTGTGGTTTAATGGCAGCTGCATACTGCAAAGAATGCACCCCTTGATCCACAGTTGCTTCTGCCTCTGATGATGGGTTCGAGTGAGCAGCCGAAACGTTGGGCAAATAAAATTCTTGCTCCAGTGATCGCATCTCCTGCTCCTCACGCGTCTCATGAAGCTCAGCCTTTTGCTTGTACTGAGTCCCTGAATGCCAGATGATCGACTGCCGCTGGCACGTGCGTACAAGTGTGTGACAAACAGATATGCAGCGTTGCAGTAGACGCCGGCAGTAGGGCCACTAGAAGTGCTTCGACGGACGAGAGTTTGAAACAGGACCGACTTTAAGACGAAAGAAGGCGTGCAACTAGACGTACGGAACAGGTGTACGAGTGCCATGAGCGAGGGCACGTCCAGGTCAGCCTTGCAGTCAGACAGCCGGGATTGGTCGAACCCCACACAGAGCTTTTCGGTTTCAGCGCTCTGTCGAACGCAAGGAGAACACCATACAGAGCCGTAACTCAGCATCGGTGAATGTGGACGCGCAAGCCATCATCGCACCAATTACGACCAATGGCGATGTGTGAGGGGGTTTCGAATTCGAGTGGGTGTATGGTGTCATGGCAACTGCGTCCCAATAAATACAGCGGCCTCATCTGCGACTGTCTCTGCTGATGAGTTCCAGCGAGGATCCGAAAGGACAGATCGGGAACATCTGTGCAAAGCATGACGTCAAAAAGGACTATTGACACAGATTCGTCCTCCGGGTCATCTGAAGAAGCGGAAGAGTCAGGACCTTCTCTTGGTTGCACACGAGAATAAATACGCCCCCCCTCCCCCCCATATTGCAGGTGGCTTTGCGCTGACGTCGATGGGTGTGATAATTGCCGATACAGGTGAAGATGCGAGTTCCAGGAACTAGTTGATAAGAAGTAGAAGCGACCGTCGGAACAAGAGCTTTATTCGCCTGACGTTTCGGATTCACGCGCGAGCCCATCATCAAAGACAGTGACGGATAGGGGAGATGCGTGCACGGGAAGTTACAGTATCTGTAGGATGCGTCGCTATGCTACTGCATATCTATAATAATTGGGTTGGAGTTGCCCACAGACCGGAGGCGACCATAGGGCGTCAGGTGATGGGACCAAAAGACCCACTGCCACGGAAAGAAACATCTGGGGTCGTTTACCAGATCTGGTGCGGTTACAGGCAGAGCAACTACGTCGGAGAAACTAGAAGACTGTTTCGGACGCGAATCGCCGAACACGCGGCGACAGTGCGGAGAAATGACGTCTACTCTCAACTCGCGGCACATTCGACGAGACCCGGCGACACATTCAAGTTCGATGAGGACGAAATTCTCACGAGAGGTGATACTAGCGTGGGCCGCGAGTTGCTTGATTCATGATTCACGGGGCCCCAGTCTATTAACAAGCGCAGTGATATCCCCACCCCATATTCGGTGAGCTAGGTGGCCGAGCATTCATTATGCCAACATCCAACACGAACGACGAAATATCAGCAATTAACAACTCGTATGTCGACCATCAAGCAATTAGCACACCAGCGGGCAACAATCCTCGATAAAGGTGAGAGCAGTTAATTAACATAGTAACTGCCTCCTATAAATACTGCAAATTCCAGTGCAAGAATCTGCCACTGTCTCTGATGATGAGTTCGAGCGTGAGTCCGAACGTCGGGCGAATAAAGCTCCTGTTCTTGCGATAACTTCTACCTCTTGTCGATGTGATTATTCTCATATCATAGCCTTAGTCCCAAGCCTAACCCTGGCTCTCCTAACCCTAGCCCCTTGGAGTTTAGTGCAAGGCCGCTTGTAATACGAGAATGGGTACTTATTCTCGTGTATTGAACGTCTTGTGACGTTCACCGGAACGGTCTATCTCGGTGACTTTATGAGAAGCTGTAACGTATGTTCTCTGTGAGCCATACACGATTTTCTTCTCTGCAAGACTCATTCGACCTGATTTAAAACTGTTCTTTGTTTACTCCCTGCTGTCACGCAAACCCTAAAACAGCAGGGGTGATTGTCTTAGAAGGTCATCGGTTGTGTTTACTGCATAGATCCTTCACTGTCTCACTACCCCACAGCTGGGTTAATTCTGAAAAAAATCAAATGCCTGACAGAAGTCAGCAACACTTATCTAAAGGTGATCGCATTAAAATTCGTGCTCGGGTAGGCGCAAGGCACTTGTTTGTTTTGATTTGCAACCAACCCATCATAACGCAAAGGTTCGGAAATCAAAGAGCAATCTATACTTGCCGAGGGTGTAAGTCGACATGTTTTTCGGAGTACTTAGATAGCAATTTCACTAGCTGAAAAGATCGTATCAAGTGTCTTTTTAAAAAACCTGACCTTCAAGCACAGGGTCTATAGGCGTGTGCCTCTTGATAACAAATTCAAGGAAGGTTTGTAGTCACCGTGAAATAAGAAACGTACACTCCGACGCGTTCAGTAAAACTGCCATCTAAAATGGCCTAGTGATACTAGCACTAGTGGCAGAGGCTATTTTGGGCACATGCTGGTGGCTGATAGTAGTTGTTTTACCGCCTTTCTGACCTCTGTGATTATCGATCGATTCTTATCTCAGTACCACCGAAACCCTCGGAAAGGCAGGAAAGTTGCGATTAAACGCTGAAC